CCCCCTACACACACACACACATACACACACACACACACACACACACACACACACACACACAAACATATTTTTTAAAACTCTTGTCCTTTCGTGTATATTAATATAATAGTCAATGTATGGTTGTGAAAGTTCTTCTTTATGAGGTTGAACTGGTTTTTCTTGTTTCTGTGAAATATTTTATCTTGTGTGAATGATTATTTGATTGGTGTAAAGCGCTCAGAGCTTATTACTAGTATGGAATTGAGCGCTATATACATCAAATCTATTATTATTACTATACACACACACACGCACACACACACCCACACACCCCCCCCCACACACACACACACACACACACACACACACACACACACACACACACACACAAACACACACACACACACACACACACACACACACACACGGAAACGACTTTGAGTCTTCTGCGTGCGACGGCATAGCGACAAATGCGGCTACAGCACAGAAGTCGGTGTGACGTCTGTGTCACTTGTGGGTTGTCAGGCCTGTTAACATAATATTATATATATATTATTATGCTCACCAGACAGACAGACAGACAGGTAGGCAGGCAGACAGGCAGACGGACGGACGGACGAACGGACGGGCAGACGAACCGACGGACAGATAGATAGATAGTAAACGGACAGACAGACAGATAGACAGACAGATAGGGATATATATAAAAACAGACAGATAGATACAAGATAGAAAGATAGATATAGATAGATAGATAGTGTGAGTGAATATTCACGTGTATACAGATGCATACATACATAGCTGTGACCCCAGCTCAAGACAATGTAATTCCAGCCAGCTGGAGTCGCAGGTCGTAACTCAAACGTTTGTTGTTGTTATCGATCGTTTGCAATTTCCATACGGTTATATCCTCAACTTCACTGATGGAAACGACAGATAAAAATCGAGTTGTGTTCAGGTTGTTGGGATCAGTATTCGGGCTTTTGATTGTTTTTAACAGTGTGTCCAGTTCGTTTTCAGAGAGAAAAGCAACTTACTTGGTGTTCATAAGGGATGTAGCCGGGCTGAACACTACTGTTTTAATTCAACTCCAACAATCTCGCAGATGAAAATGATTGATACGTTGGCTACCCTGTTTTGTTTTGGGTTTGCATTGTTTTTCCTGTGAGCTCTGTCCGTTTAAGAGAGAGAATGGCGTTCACAATCGATATAATATTGCACAAGCATACTCTTAGCACGTACACTTCGATTGTATTTTTCCAGTTTACTTTTACTGTATTTCTTTTAAAATATTACATGCTTCTTGATCTTTTAAACTGAACTGTGATCTTTGCAGACCACTTACAGAACAGAAATGAATATGTGTCGCGTCCTTCGCTCTCCTGCGCTCACTCAAGACGTGGTGCTTAGAAGCTGGACATTCTGAGACATCAAGTTAGAACTGACATTTAGACTATATTATATATTTCAATTTGGATTGACTGTGTTAGACCAAACGGATTCTCGGTTGTGCATTTTACTTGAAGGAAGTAAATTTGTTACTGCAGACAGAGGTAAGGTGTCTAGCATACTTGGGGGAATTAATGTATTCATATTGACAACATAAACGTGTGTGCTCTGTGATAAACTACGAGGAGTTCAAGAAATTCGGAATACACGGCGACAGCGGGCTGTGTATGAGAGAGCGCGCGGCTTTCCCCCCGTCCAAGATGGCAGAAGGTGCGAACAATATGGGAGGGGGCGGAGGGCATCAGTCCCCCAGACAAGCGACCCCTGACCCTCGTTTACCTCTGACCCCGATGCAAGTGTTCAAGTTGAAAAAGAACTGGAAGGGAATCAAGAGGAGACTGGAGGATACGGGAGTGGAGATGTTGATCAGGTGAGTACTTTAGTTAAGAATAAAATAAAGTCCACTGTTATTAAGTACTAATAGGTTAGTATAGTTTGCAGCGGCTTCCGTCATTTTGACCCAACGAGTAAAAACCATCCACTGTAATACTACAGTCAAACTCGGATTTAACGAAGTCGTTGGGTCGGACAAAGTTCCGGTATCCTCGGGACTTACCTTGTTTCGTTGAATTCGAGTTCGGTATATCCGAGTTTCACTGCATATCCTTAATAACATTGCAACATCGTTGATTTCTCTCTCTCTCTCTCTCTCTCTCTCTCTCTCTCTCTCC